AATTTCACCCCCAAACCTCCACCCCGCCCCCCAAAACCCCTCGATTTCACCCCAAAATTCCCCTCACCGAGCGGGTCCTGCTTCCTCCGCCGCTGCAGCCGCTCCCGCAGCGAATCCAACTGCTTCTTGTGGGCCTGGATGGAGCTCCAGGTATCCGACATGGCCGCCCCCTCTTCCCCCCTCAAAGCCCCTTCCCGCTTCCCGACCCGCTTCCGGTCCCAACCGGATGTCCTTGAAACCGCTTTCGCCATTTTGACTTCTGGCAGCGCCCCTTTGTGTTCCCGCGCCTCCTTCCGCCATCTTGGTTGAGGGCGTATTCAAACATCTTCCGGCTGAGAGCGGAAGTGCTTGAAGTGGTATCCGCCATCTTGGGTGCTGGCATAAGCGCCGCTCCGTTGGCTAAGCGGAGCGCCGCCATCTTGGTTAAGGGCGGCGCCATCTTGTGAGAGGGCAGCGGCGCCCCCGTGAGGAGAAAGGGAACAAAATGGCGGCGGGGGGGGGGGGGGGGGGGGGGAGAATAGAGACCCCAAAACGCGGCTTTGACCCCCAAAATTAAAGACAAAAGGCACGAGAATGGTCAGTAAAATGCTTTAATTGCGGAGGGAGCCTCCGCTCTATGCTATGGGAGTTATTTTCTTTTTTTTTGGGGGGGGGGGGGGGGGGGTTTTTGAGGTGAAACGCCTCAAAATTGCCCAAATTTGGGGGTAAATCCCCTCAAGTTTGGGTTTAAATCCCATCAGTTTGGGTTTAAATCCCATCAGTTTTAGGTTTCTGTGGGGTTCCTGTGGGAGAAAAGGGTCCAGGGGGTCCCCGTAGAAGGAAGCCCCAAAATTGCCCTAAAATTGTCTAAAAATGGTCCCAAAATACCACATTTCAACCCAAAACGATGCCCTCAAAATCCCATCGAAATCCCCCTCCCCAAAATATCCCAAAATCCCCAAAACTGCCCCCGAAATTCCTCTCATGTCCCCCAAATCCCCACAAACGGCCCCAAAAATCCCCCCCCCAAAAAAATAACCCCAAATCCTCCCCTCAAAAGCCCCCAAAATCCC